GAAAATTACCAAATGGAGAAAAACATGATAGAAAATGGCTAGTATATTGAAAAGAATTAGATAAAGTATTTTGTTTTTGTTGTAAATTATTTAGTTTAAAATCAAATACAATTTAATTAGTAAATGAAGGGTGTGGAGATTGGAAAAATCTTAGTGCCAAGCTTAAAAGTCACGAAACAAACAATAAACATGCCATAAATATGAACATTTGGGTTGATGTTTAGATGAGATTGCTTGAAAACAAAACAATTGATAAATGTTTACAAGAGAAAATAAATAAAGAGAAAGAGCATTGGAAGAATGTACCATTAAGAATTATAGCGGTTGTAAAAAAATCTTTCAAAAAATACTTTGATACTTCATGGTACAAATGAGAAGATTTATCAAGAAAATAATAGAAATTTTTTGAATTTAATTGAAATGATTGCTGAGTTTGATCCAATAATGCAAGAACACCTTAGACGCATTCAAAATGGAGAAATTCATACTCATTATCTTGGTCATAATATACAAATTGAGTTAATAACTATTTTAGCATTAGAAATAAGAAATACCATCATTAAAAAAAATCAAGGAATCAAAATATTTTTCAGTGATATTTAATCATACCCCAGATACAAGTCATCAAGAACAAATGTCACTTATATTAAGATGTATAGATGTTTCAATAAGTCCTATAAAAATAGAAGAGTACTGTAGACATAAAAATCTACCTGTACGGAAGGGGGGTCTGATCCCATGAGGTTGAGGCCACTAACGATCCGCTGCACCTACACACGTAGAGAAACACACGCATGAAGCAAACGGGAAACACCGGGGTGGTGTTTGCCGTAGGCACTCCGACGCTCAAGTCAGCAAGGCTGAGAGAGGCTAATATAGTGAGGGTTAGGGAGTACAGGTTACCAGAAGTCTAGTCGGGGACTGTGACTACGGCGGTGATGTGGAGCTCTCAAGTCAGAGCTTTCAGTGTGAAGGTGTAATGTCATCTCCCCTTTGTGAGAGGGTTGGCCTCTGCTTATATAGTGGTCGTCTGGTCTCCCAATCCTGGTAGAAGTAGGAGTCCTAGTATGACTCTGATGCAAACCCTAGAAGAATTAGGGCCGTGGTAAGCTATCTTACCAGTATCCAGATAGGAAGGTGATTCTGATTAGGAGAGTAACTCCGAGTAGGAAAGTGATCAGGAATAGGAAGGTGACCTTGAATGGGAGATTTGTAATAGCCACTACTACTCAAAAGATTATAAGGAAATACATATAAAATAAGATAAAGAAATTGGGCCCAAGTTTTTCTTTTATTAAACATATATACATACTCTTTACAAACATATGCATTTTTACACAAAATATATATAACGTATACAAAAAGTCATCAAAACATCAGGGACAGTGTAGCCACTCCTCCTCGCACGCCGACANCAGGTTTGGAGGGTGTTGAGAGATGGAGTTTAAGTGGGAATTTGTCAACAAGGCTGATTAGTAGGCAATTTGTGGGAAGTCAAAGTCATGTGTGATGTTTCAAAGGAGAAGTTTTGGAGTTCAATGTTCATCTTCGAGGAAGGTTGTTTCTCGAGTTGAATCTGAGGTTGTTTCTGTGGAGGAAGAAGAGTCAGGGCATGTTATGAGGTTCAAGATGTCTGATTTCAAGATTCTTGATCGTGTTAGCCTTGGCCTTGCTAGGCAGGTATGTTTGTGTGAAGAATTCAAATGTTTATTGGAAATTTGATGGCGGTGTTTGATTGTTTTTGTGATTTAACTGAATTGAGATTTCCTGTAGGTTGATGAGGTTGTTTTTGAAGCCATTGTGAATGATTCTAATAGGTTTTCATTTCTTTTTTGTTTCCTTCACATTATTTTCTTATGATATGTTTGACTAAGGCGTGAACTTATGATGTTTGTATTATGAGATTGCAGCCCTTTGTATAACACAAGAGTTGTGCTAGAAAACTAGATAAAATGTAAGATCAATTGAGAAGTGAGTAACTTCTATTGCTACTGGTAGCGCTTTTGGGAACCAGCATGGTTATTAGTGATGGCATTCTAACTCTGTCAATGTCTGGTATTATTTCTTTCATACATTACATATATTTTCCATGTGAAGTTATAGATTGATTATGGTACACAGCATAATGGTATGGTTTTGTCCATAGATCTCTATCAAATTGTATAAGATATGTTTTGGCTACTGAACAATGTATTAGCTTCCAAGAATTGCACAATTTTCTCTTACTTTGTCACATTTAATGCATATACAGTATGTGTTTATGTGTGTGCATGTGCATGTGTGTGTGATGGGATAAATGAGTAACATCCTTTTAATTGTTTTTTTTTTTTTTTTTTTTTTCATAGATGAACTTGATTAGTTCTCAAACCCAGCAGCTAACATGATGGAAAGCAGAGACCATATTCAAAAGGTAGCTAACATGATTGAAAGCAGAGACCATATTCAAAAGGTAGCTAACATGATGGAAAGCAGAGACCATATTCAAAAGGTAATCTTTTCTTTTATTGAGTAAAAATTTGATGATTTATGTGCCAACTTAGTGTAATCTTAAAAGCACTTGCTCTTTAAGTTTTCTTAATGTCTAAATACAGTTGAAATTTTTTTTCTTGGTGTTTTTATGCAACCAGACTAAATTTAGTAACTCATTATTTTCTTTGAGTATAAACTCAAACTTCTTGCAGAAAGAGTTTTTCAAATAGAAATTTTTAAGTTTTTAGTGAACTTTTGCATAGAACTTAAGTTTGGATTAAAACATATGCGGATGTTTGACAAATTTTTGGATATTCATATTCATATTTGGCTAATTTGACTAACCTCTTGACTTAAGGATGAACTAAGCTCCAGCATCAAGCTCTTTGGAGAATCAATGATGCATGTTTCATTATCAGTTTTTGATATATTCATGGAGCTTGGAAATACAGTTCCCATCTTTCTCTCTGTGCTTGACTAAGAGTTGTTCCACCAACAACAACAACCTATACACCACCTGTTGAGCAACCAGAAGTGGTCATTCCAAGTGTAGCCAACCATTGCCCCACTCACAGGTGCTTACTTTAAACCATTGTTTGTTTATGAAATTTCATATTATTACTGATTTATTTCTGAACTTAAATTGATTCAGTTTTGATTCTTTTATTATGCAGCCAACCTTTGGCAATGATGGTCACAGTGAGCATTGATGGGGGTGACATTAGGAATAATTTAATGAACACTTCATTTTTGGCATAGACACAGTATGAACCATTTAAAAATATATATATTGTCAATTTATTTTGTTTTTCTTTGTCTTATAAACAATGTTATATTGCAAAGTGTTTATCAATGAAGCATATTTTATTATAAAAAAGTTGCATACTTACATTCTTAGATAGGTTACACATGTTTTTGTTGTGGACTTTGTAGCCAGTAATAGTTTGTGTTTTGTGGCGAATAGAGTTTGTGTTGGATGATGAAGGATGACAAGGTAGCATTTTAAAATGGTGAAAGATTAACTATTGGACCTCAAAGCAATGGTTATATTCCATGCAGGAACTACTAATTTTAAGAAGGGAAAAATTATCATTTCAATTATATTATTATGTAACAAATTATTATAAGAAAAGTGTTGCAACTCTTCTTTTGCTTTGAAAAGGGAATATATTCCTATCACTAAAATGTTCCAGTATTATTTCGTTCTTCAATTAATTAATTTATTTTTGTCAAAACC